AATCTAAACATCTTAACTTGTCTCAGCATCAACTTTAAAGTCTAAGTCCAAAATCTAATATACAGGTGAGACTCAAGGTACTGTGTATCCCCTAGACCAGCTGCTCTCCAGGTACATGCCTGTGAAATCAAACTAGTCCAGTGCTTCCAAAAGACAATTCTGTGCCGGGCACGGGATACATTGCCATCCCAAAAGGGAGCAATGGGCAAGAAGAAAGGACAACAGGTTCCAGGTAAGTCTGAAACTCAACAGTTTAAACAACATTAAATCTTAAGATTTGAGACAATCTTCTTCTGTCCCTAGACGCATTGGAAGAGGGGTTGACTGTGGCTCTGGGTGACTGTGAGTCTCCCAGTCTAGAATTGCCTATTGGTGTCTCATATCTGAGATCTTGGGGGTGACCCTAGCCCAAGAACCTCTGGAGACATTGCCCTTAGTGGTGACTGTCTTTGGTGGCCTCACCATCACGGTGGCTTTTGGTCTGAGTCAAACAACTGAGACTCCTGATGGCTCTGATCTTCAAAATCTAGGTGGAGGTATCCATGACCCCATAGCTGGTGTGTTCAGCATGCTGGTGGGGATGGCACCTCACCTGGCTTTCAAGGTATACCACCTGGGCCCTTCAGAGGAGTGGCCTCCATGGCCCATGCTGCACCAGGGCCACTGCAGCCATACCTGGCATAGCCAAGGAATGTGGGGAGTGGAGACTTGAACAATTGTTCTGCCCTCTGCTTTCCACCTCAGGCCCTTGGCTTCTGGGCCTACCAATGGAAGGGGCAGCCCAAATAATCTCCAAGAGGCTTTCAGCAACTTTCTTTCATTTGCCTGGATGAATAGCATCTGGCTTCCTTTGAGATGGTCTATCCATATTCATCTCCAAATCAAATCATAGCTTTCCCAAACACACTTTCTCATTCCTTTCAATATAGGGTGGCTGAGAACTTCCCAAATTTTAAAATTCTGGTTGAAATTTCATCTTTCAATCATTTCTCTCTTCTTGCAGTTTACTGTCAGGATTTTAAAAAAAATATTTATTCCTAAGTTTTAGGTGGACACAATATCTTTATTTCACATTTATATGGTGCTGAGGATCGAACCCAGAGCCTTGAGCATGCTAGGCGAGCGCTCTTCCACTGAGCCACAACCCTAGCCCCATATTGTCAGGTTAAGAGAATTCCAAAGCCACATTTTAGGTATTTTTACACGGCACCTCACTCCTAATACTAATTTTCTGTTTTAGACGGTTCAGGCTACTATTTTTTAAAAAAAGGCTATATAGGTTAATGTTTATAAACAACAGAAACTTACTTCTCACATTCCTGGAGGCTAGGAAGTTCAAAATCAAGGTCCTGAAAAAGTCAGTGTCTGGTGGGGGCCTGCTCTCCGGTTCATAAATGGCACCTTCTGGTTGTGTCCTCACATGGTAGAAGGGAACAATTTTCTCTTGAGGTTTCTTTTGTAAGGAATGTAATCACTCACAAAGACCCCAAGTCTTAATACTGTCACCTTGGAGTCAGGATTTTAACTTGTGAATTTTGGGGGATTCAAGCATTCATACCATAGAAGACCCTTTCTCATGAATTGTCTAGTCCTCCTAAATTGGGGACACTCAGCTTTTCCTTGCCAGGGACCTTTTAAAGAACTAATTTTGAAATTATGGGAAATAAAGGCTGATTCATAGTGGGGTTGGGAGGGGGAGCATGGGAGGATTAGATGAACTCTAGATAGGGCAGAGGGAAGGCAGGGGAAGGGAGGGGGCAAGGAGGTAGAAAAGATGGTGGAATGAGATGGACATCATTACCCTAAGTACATGTACGAAGACATGAATGGTGTGAATATACTTTGTAAACAACCAGATATGAAATATTGTGCTCTGTATGTGTAATATGAACTGTAATGCATTCTGCTGTCATATATAAAAAATTAGAATAAAAAATAATTAAGGGAAATAATATAATAACAAAGAAGTGTATATGAAAATTAAAAGTGTTGTACCCACCCTTTCCCTTTGTTTCATCCCATTCCACAGGGAAATCCTCTTAACAATTTATTATTTATCCATAAGAAATGTATCTCTGTATACACAACCTACAGGTTATTATATGTGCTCTTCAAAATACATATACAGGGTTGGGGAGGTAGCTCAGTGGTACAGCACTTGACCAGCGTGCATAAAATGCTGGGGTCAATTCCCAACACTGCAAAAACTCTCTCTCTCTCTCTCTCTCTCTCTCTCTCTCTCTCTCTCTCTCTCACACACACACACACACACACACACACGCACGCACGCACACTCGCAGCTATACCATAAACATCGAGTTTTACAACTTGCTTTTTTTCTCCTTGTTTCTTTTGTGTGTGTGTGGGAGGGAGAGACCAGAGATTGATTGAATTCAGGGGTGCTTGGCCACTGAACCACATTCCCAAACTATTTTTATTTTTTTAAATTTTAAGACAGGATTTTGCTAAGTTGCTTAGGGCCTCTTTAAGTTGTTGAGGCTGGCTTTGAACTTTCAATTGTCCTGCCTCAGCCTCCCAAGTTGCTGGGAAAACAGGCATGTGCCACTGTGTCCAGCTCCTTTTTATTTCATTTAATATCAGGTCTTGGACACTTTTTATGCCAGTACTGATAGATCTACCTTTTGTTCTTAATTACTGCAAGTTCATTGTAAAGATGTGAGTGACCAGTTTGTTTTCAGAAATATTTAGGCTGCTTACAGTCTTGCCATTGAAAATAATGCTGAGATGAACAATTGTACTTGTATATTACTTGCCACCTGATTGGTAATGTTTGTGTTTAAAATTTGAATATTTGCTCCCGAATTACCTTCCAATAACTCTAACAATTTATGGTTCCAGTAATAGTATATGAGAATGCCCATTAAGAATACTGGTATCATCAAACTTAAATATTTACTAATTTGATGGATGAAAATGATATATAATTTTAAATACTTAAATGCCTTAAAAGTCAGGCTGAAGTGGGCACAGTGGGCACAGTGGTGCATGCCCGTAATCCCAGCAGTTTGGGAGACTGAAGGATTGGGAGATCAAAGCCAGCCTCAGCAATTTAATGAGACCCTAAGCAACTTAGCAAGACCCTGTCTCTAAATAAAATACATTTAAAAAAATGTGGTTATGTGTCCCTGGATTCAATCCCTGATATACCCCCACCCACCCTCCAAAAAAGAGTGAGGCTGAGCATATTTGCCTCCTTATCCTTTAGAGATACTTTCAAAGACCTTTATTGGATGCCTAAAACTGAGGGTTGTATTGAACCCAATATGTCTGTCTGTCTGTATGTATGTATGTATGTAGATAGATAGATAGATAGATAGATAGATGAAATTTAAGGCTGTGGCTCCCATTGTTGAGCCCCAGACTTCTATGCGCGCACACACACACACACACACACACACATACAAATTCAATGCCTTTTCCACCATAACTTACAATGCACTGTGGATGCAACTTTTGCAGTTTGAGGTGTGACAGCAAAACTAACATGAATTACTTTTCCTTGATCACAATTTCACAGATAGATTTGTTCTTACCATTGATTTAGCAATCTTAGCATATGATTTTTTTTTTCTTTCCTTATTGAGAATTTTTACCTTTTCACTTGAAGGAAGCTGCTCTTTGGCATACCCAAATTGCTTCATTGCCACCCTTGTATTTTGGGGCCATTATTATGTAAAGTAAAGGTCACTTCAACACAAGCTCTGTGGTACCACAACAATTGATCTGATAACCGAGATGGGTGCTAAGTAACTAGTGGGCAGATAGGATATAAAGCATGGATACTCTGGACAAACGGATGATTCATATCCCAGGCAGGATAGTTGGGTGGTGTAAGATTTCATCACACTACTCAGAACAGCATACAATTTTCAACTTAGATATTGCTTACTTCTGGAATTTTCCATTTACTTGCGGTGGACCGCAGGTAACCGAAACCTCGGAAAGCCAAACCACAGATAAGGAAGGAGTAATGTATTTGTTGGCTTTTGGAGCTTCTTTTTCTCCTGTGTGTGTGTGTGTGTGTGTGTGTGTGTATGAACCCCATGTCGTTGGCCTTTGACCATTTGGGGGAAGGCTAATCTTTCTCTATTCAGATTTGTAGGAATTGTATATTAAGGAAACCAGCATCTAAGATTCATCTTATTATTTCCTTCATTACAAAGTCCATGTTTAGAAAGATTTTGTAAGCAGCAGTTGTTAAGTTATTACATGTTCTTCCATTTTCCCTATCTGACCCATGTATACTGATCCTCAAAATGTTTATCAGCACAAGATGGTCAATGTTTCTGTGTTAAGTTGATAGAATTCCAGCCAAAAGCAAAGCCCGGAATTTTTATTAATCCCAGAAACCCCACCATGTTTAACTGAAGGATAGTCATTGGCTTTCTGAGATATTTTAAGTGGCTTGAGGAGCCCTTGAAGTCTGGGGCCCAACAGTGGGAGCCACAGCCTTGGATTTGGACCTTTCAGCTAGGTCTCCTTCGGCCAGCCCAGTTCACTAGAGCCAGCAGTGTGGTCTGCACCTGCACGCACCACTCTGTCCAGCTGTGGATTCTTCTGTTCTCGTGAGTGGGCTGAGTGTTTGCATATTTTCCCCTCTGTTTATAGGCACATATGGGTGTGGGTCCCTCAGAAGGTTGCTGAGGCTGGACTGAACCTGCCCCAGGCCAGGCCCAGTGGGACTTTATCTGTGCTGACCCTTGGGAGCTGAGGAAGAGAGGGAGGTGGGAAGGGGCAGGAAGAGGCTCATCCTGAGAACCTCCCAGCTGGCCCCAAACCCTCCTGCCCATCCTTAGCTTCTCTACTTCCTTGGGGGAAATTTCCCCAGGGCTATGTTCTGTGTTGCAGAGAGTGAGAAAGGTCATCTGGTAAAGATGGGCCGGGATGGTTTGCAGAACCTTACATGAGAGAGCAGGGTGCTGGACACCAAATATGGGCCCGAAAGGGAAATGGTCACTAATGTGGCTCTTTCCTCTTAGTTCTAGAGTGGGGGCGCTGAGCTCACAGTTGTAGGAGTCGGGGAAGAGCAGAAATCTGCCAGAAATCTGCCTCTGATCCTTGACCAGCCCAAGCCTCTGCAGCTGACTTAGAAGCTTCCAGGTTGGTTTGTTTGTTTAACCGAGGGCTGACTTTTAATTGACTGCCACATTCCAGAGTTTGGCAGGGAAGGTGATTAATGGGGTTGGCAGCAGGAGGTGGAGTCGGAGGAAGTCAAAAGAACTCCAAGATGAGAGAAATGAATTGCAGTAGATGGGGTAGAGAGAGAAGATGGGAGGGGAGGGGAGGGGAGAGGGGATAGTAGAGGATAGGAAAGGTAGCAGAATACAACAATTACTATTATGGCATTATGTAAAATTGTGGATGTGTAACCGATGTGATTCTGCAATCTTTGTAATGTTTTGAATAACCAATTAAAAAAAAAAATAAAGAACTCCAAGATGACTCCATTGGAGCCCTAGCTTCCAGTGCGGTTGCCAGGTGTCTCCTCAGCTCACCCCAGTATGCCTACCTCTGCAGGGTGGGCAATGAGCTCTTGGGCTAAGAAAATATTCCCTTGTCTCTTCCCATTAATATCCCCCAGGGTTGGCATGTGGGCATCAGAGTTAGGCCTCATTCTCTGCCTTGGGACATAGAATACCCACCTGAGCAGACCCAAGTTTGGGAGCCCAAACAGAATCACCTGGGTCTGTGCCCTAGAAACATGCCTGGGCAGCAAGGGACTCACCCTGTGACGCCTGAGCCTTTCCCTTAAAGCATGGCCAGCGAGATAACATATAGACAGTGCCAGGCTCCAACTCTCATTAAACGTTATCTCATTGGCTTCATGAACCTCTCTGAGAAGGGAGTGAGAAAGAAACACCTCTGCTCTTGCAGTAAAATGGTCTCACTAAATATACCCCTCTACCTTGACAGTGAATTGGAAGGGCATTCCTGAGCACAAGGCAGCTTCCACGGTGGGTTAGCTTCCATTCCCTTCATCCTAGTCCCCACCACAGCCAGACTGAGGGGACCCCAGTCTAACATTTGGAACATGATGATAAAGAATGTGGCATTGGAGCCAAGCAGATGAAGGACAAGTCAGGCCCTGTCACACAGGAGCTGACTTCAAGAGTTGGTCCCACATCTGTAAATAGGAACCTGGCCGTGCCCTCCTGCCCTGTCTGTTGTGAGGAATGAGTCACAGCAGAAAGTGAGTGCTTTGCATAGGGCCCTAGTGGAGTGTGATTGAGTCCCTGTGTTCTCCCTCTCCTTCTTCTGGCTCTTCTTCCTTCTCCAGAAGTGATTCCGCCAGGCCCCCTGGACAGGGCTCTAGGCTGATCTTCTCTTTCCTAGAAAATGCTCAGGTCTTGAAGCCTTTTTCAGTCCCAAAGTCTGAGGATGATCTCTATCACTAGCTGTGGCCTGGGCTGTCCCATGATCAGTTTAACAGACTGGATTCAAGGAGCCTTAGGCCAAGAACTCAGGACACA